TCTCGTCGCAGGCTCAATTCATTGATCGTGCTGTGTCTGTGGGTCTGTTGTGTGCATGCACGTGTCGATTTCCCACATGTGGCGCTCGACTGGCACGGCGATTTTGCATTGTAATTCGTTTTAAATGTTATTGGGGTTGCCCTTTTATCGGTGGCTTTTTTTTTGTTGCCATTTTGTGAGTCTTTAATTCGCTCTGTGGGTCTGTTTGAGTTCTCTGGTTCGCTTGTCTATTTATCGTTTGATCCGTCAATCCCTTCATCATCCGATCTGTCAGTCTCTGTAATCCACAGACGGATTCTGAACGGATTCCTGGGAGGTCAGAGGGAGGTGGGGTGGGGTGAGCCCTCTCCTACCTTGGAACTATGCAAAAACTAGGAATAGAGTTGTAACACACTGCTACTTAGAGTTACTTTAGTTTTATTTATGAATAGACTTGGACTTTTGCAAGACTGGTGCCTGTGCCGGTGAGATAGGGGAGGAGGAGGGGAGGGGTCATTCGCCCTTTTTCCCTGGACCCGTCTGTATCGGCCGATCTGTTAGCCTATTTTATCAGTCTTGTAAATGTTATCTATCTTCTAGTAAGCCTGTTCTATCGGTCTAGCTGGTGGACTTTCTTCAATCGCCCTATCGGTCGATCTGTCGGTCAGTCAGTCGCTTCCGGTCGATCTGTCGGTCAGTTAGTCTCTTTCGGTGGATCTATCGACCAGTTCGTGGTCGGTTGATCTATTTCCAGCCTGTTACGGTGTCTGGGCATGCCATGAGACCTTTGATTATCGTTCGGTTTGGCGTTTTCGTCGGATTCTTGAGCACATTTTCCATGGCTCGTTCGGAGAGTGGCGAGTTTCCGATGTTAATTTTTGGCTGGGCCTAGCTCAACACGTGCTGCTGACAGCCATGAGCCATAGAGGGGTGAAAGTACTTCAGGGACAACTGGGGGAGGAAGGGGGACCTGTTTATTCAGGCTGGTTATTTCAGTGTGTCTGATCTGCGCACATTGATTTCGCGCATGGTCTCCTGCAGTAAGGGATCAGAGATCATGTGGGGGAATAGGGAAGTGCACAGGCCTTCCCGATAAGGCGTGTGGAAGTACTGTTACTTTTTCGCTTGTTATGATATCACTGTCTTGGAGGGGTCGCCCGCGCATGTAACTTGCTGATAACAGGGGAAGGGAGGGGGGCTTTTGCCACGCCGTGCATGGCTCTTATCAGCTACTCCTCGCCGGTGATTCAGTGGTACCGTGCCATGCGCTGCTGCGAGCTTGGATGGCGGTGGTGCAACGATGCTGTCCTACGGGGAGGTGGTTAAGCTTCAGTGAACCGCCATCTGTGCTCGA